TAAAACTACGCAACGGATTTTGAAGCAATTTTTTTTAATAGATAAAGAGATTCTAGAGGAAGGTCTATATATATAATACATGTACCTGTACGAAGCCGGGGCGAGTAGCTAGTATTATATAAATTATAAGTGTGCGTAATTTCATAATCCACTGTGCGCGCAATTTTCGTTAAAAGAGGTACAATGTTTTTGCTTTACGTATTCATATAGATAGGATATATTTCGTTAAATGAGAATGTATAAAATTTCAATTCCAGATAACAGTTTGCAATATTTTATTATCACTTTATAATACTTTGCAGGCATTAAGCGCAAGTGTCTGCGGTTATTCTCATAACTTTCAAATTAAACCGCTCCCCCATAAAAGTAAGGAATTGACCATTAAAATAAGTTGTTGAGTAACTCCCGTTATAACTGCACCGTTTACGCCGTTTTTTTTATGAAGGTAAAGTAACTACGATCATCACAAAAGTAACTACTTTTAATTTTCCACTCGTTCTTCTTGTGATGAGACAGATTTCCAAATGAGCGGTAGATTAAAAAAAACTATGAGTATTCAAAAGCGTATAAATTTAATTTATTTGAATAAAGAATTTTCTATTCTATACTATACTACAGAGGTTCTCAATCTTTTATTTGAACCCCCAAGCATATTTATTGCTTTGTGATGAAAATTGTGGAAATAATTTACTTGTATCTTGTGACGAATTTATATTATTGAATTAAACTTAACACACTATCAACAGGAAATATCTAATTAACAAAAACCGGAAGAGGAAGCTCGATACAAAAATCATAGATAATATAACAATACAGAACATATGTATAGTTTTACAGAGTATGTTATTATTTTAGTTAAAAATACAGACTAAAAATATTCTAACATCCTGTATACTGTGTTTCGGTTGTAGGATGCAGATTAGGCAGAGAAATTACAGGATAAGAGAGATGACATCTTCCTCTGGAATGACGCATGTGTGATATCAGAGGCCCATGTGATCTCCCAGGTATATTTAATAAACAATGGTCACCATAGGAGGGGATTGTTTTTAATGTGGACTAATAACCCAAGAATGTGTGATATCATAGGCCCCACGTGATAACGTGATCTCCCAGGTATATAAACAATGTACATAATACAACCAAACAATAATATAACCCAACTAGCAATGTACCATATCAATTTGACCTTCACACGGTTCCATCGTGGTAAATTGCCATTTGCCCAGATAGGCTAACTGACCTGACTTTTCTGCCTGCTCATTTTATCATCCTCCACTGATGTCTCGCCAGCGTAAACAATTAGCACAGGCGAGTGCATCATTCCATTATTCATAACCATAAACATACACGAATACAGACGATAATGATGGTAAATGGTAACTAACCACCATCAACGCCAGTTATTTGCCACTTTCCACTGATGCCTCTATGTGCTACTCCGCCAGCGTAGGCGGGAGCACCATTCCATTATAAACCATAAAATAATGGTCACCACTTACCATCGTGTGGGCCATCAGCTTGTTTGCCATTCAAATTACGTAAACAAAAACTATAGTACAGTGTTGAGTGACTTTAGAACAGATAAATCGCATTTGCGGCTTTCTGACCGGTTTCTCAACTGCACACTCAATTAGTTTAGGTGTTTGGTACAATTCAAACGCTGATACTAATGAATGAAAGGATACTGACAGAATGAATCAAATGCGACAGAAACGATGGTTTTATTGGAAATGTTTTTAATAAGTAGTAGAAATTCGACTGTCATGTAAATTTTAAGGCTCTATTGTCACAGGCTAAATTATTATTATTATTAAGGAGAGGAGATGGCAACTTACCCCCGGCAGAAGCACCATCGGCCGGGGTTCAGAGCCCCAGGGAGAGAAACCGGCGTACAATGCGGGCAGAATCTAAGAACACCGCTTTCTGCATATTATTATTATTATTTATATATTATTTCGGATATGTATCCATATTATGTTACTAAACAACTTGTAAACTATGTTACTAAATTATATTATACTCATTTTGTCATGACTGAAATATATACTTTTCACTTCCAAAGCTTTTACTTCACATATTAATATATGGTAACAAATAGATGCACGGATTTCACGTTACCTTACTTTATTTTTAATCTATACATATAAATAAAATTGGAGTGTCTGTTTGAAATATTGAAATCATCGTTTTTACTACATGCTTATGATTGTAAATACGGTACGTACAACAAAATAACATTTTTTAAAATTTTTGCCTGTCTGTCTGTTTGACGGGACTTTTATTGGCAGGTAGTTGATGTAATAAGGAGTAACTTAGGCTACTTTTATTTTAGAAAAATGAAGTTAAATTCCTTGCGGACGAAGTCGCGTGTACAGCTAGTCTTAAATATACCTAATATGTAGTTACTTCGTTTCCAACGTAGGACTGGTCTGTTCGGGTTACGGCTACTGATTAAGCTATTTACTTTAACTAAAAATATGTTCTAATTTCTGTATTTCGGTAATCAAGTACAAGTTCATTTGAAAATACTAAGAGCTAAATTTATTGACAATAATTCTTATCTCGAAACTATGGTAGCTGATTTTACGTCATAAGAGTCTGCTTATACGTTTACTAGCTTTTGCCCGCGGCTTCGCTCGCGTTAATTTATCCCCTTAGGGGTGGAATTTATCGAAATCCTTTCTTAGGGGATGCCTACGTCATAGTAGCTTTATGCATGCAAAGTCTCAGCTCAATCGGTTTAAAATTGACCAAGTTTCATACAAATTTTCACCCCCTATTTCATCCCCTTGGGTATAGAATTAATCAAAATCCTTTCTTAGCGGATGCCTACGTCATAACATCTACCTGCATGCCAAATTTCAGCCCGATCCGTCCAGTGGTTTGGGCTGTGCGTTGATATATCACTATGTCAGTCACATTTGAGTTATATATTTTAGATTGCTTGATGAATGATTTGTTAAAAAGGCAGACGAAGTAGCGAATTACTACTAGTGTACTTAGATAGGCGATGGTGATCACTTTCCATCAGATGAGTAAGAAATGTATTTTTTTTTAACTATCTGACCCGCGCCACCTCGTCTGCATGACACTAACTTGACATATCATTATATATATAGAATATTATTATATATAATATTTATATATCGCCCAATCATCATACTGTCTTTTTAAAATATAGCCTATATGTTACTCTACATCATATTATAATATACATCAGAATGTATAAGATATATTACCGTAAAGTTTCATCAAACCATTCAGTAGTTTTTGCGTGAAAGAGTAACAAACATCCATCCATACTCACAAACTTTCGCGTTTAATATTATATTTGTAATATTTAATTTATAAGGTTATAAATTAGACCACGCCCTACTTCAAATGAGGGCAGAATAGTTTGCCATTCGGCGTGGACCAGTGCAGAAGACTAGGTACTGTAAGTGAATTAAGATTTTAACTTAGTTTCCCGTTGAACTTTCTGAATGACCTAATTTATACAGTGCAGATAAAAACTAGATTAAATGACTAAAAAAAAATTTTAATCTTCGGAGCCGTGCACCAGGTTCAGAATATATGTACATTTTTTATTTATACTTGACTGCCACCATGGTCCAGTGGTTTAGCACACCGCTTTACTTCCTATGGTCGCGGGTTCGATATCAATTGCACATGGATATAACTGATATATACACTTAGCATTTTATGTAAATATATACATACATAATTTACATAGAAGACACCCAGACTGATACAGACAATCACAATCATGAATACAAATGTTTGTACCGTGCGAGGAATCGAACCCGCGACCATCGGAAGTAAAGCAGCGTGTTAAACCTCTACACCACCGGCCGTCTAAACATAACTATCGCCGACTAGTATAGTTAGATACCATGTAAAAATTGTCGTTGAACAATATTTTATCTAAAATCCAGTCTAATCAGCGACGTGCGAATTTCGTAAATAATTTAGAAGGAAATATTTATAAAATATCTCGGTTCCTTTATAATTTGTCGCCCGTAACATCGCTTGTGTCCTTCCCTGGATAATATCGTACATCCGGACTGAGGTCTACATTATATTATGTCATCATCATCATCATCGCAGCCCGGAAGACGTCCACTGCTGGACATAGGCCTCCCCCAAAGATCTCCACGACGATCGGTCCTGCGATGCTCGCATCCAATTATATTATGTATTATTATATAATTCACTAACGATGTACGACCGACCCTACTAACTCACAATTATGTACAAGCTACCGAGATTTTAATTAATTAAAATATAATGTATTTAATACTAGATACATATATAATAGCGTAGGCGTTTTTGTAGTGTATTACATTATAACCTTACTTTATTTTTCTAAAATAAAAGTAGCCTAATTTACTCCCTATTACATCAGCTACCTGCCAAAAAAAGTTCCGTTAAAATCAGTTCAGCCATTTCAGAGATTAGCCGGAACAAACAGAACGACAGACAACCAGTTAAATTTTTTAATGTGGTTTTTTGGTGTATGTTCCGTATTTATATTCATATGCATGCAGTAAAAAATGGTTATTTCAATATTACAGACACTCCAATTTTATTTATATGTATAGATTTAATATTTTGACCGTAATAAATTAGTACAATGTACATAAGAATAAAACGTAGTACAAGCTGTTATTCTTATGTACATTGTACTTTAACTACCATATCTCACCAACCAATTATTTCTCAAATAAGAAATATCTGGGGAAAAATCAAAGATACTTTAATTTTAAATATATACTCGTATAGTTTTAATGACTCTTCACAAGTATTTTTAATAAGAATGGATTTCCTAAATAACACGTGAAATTGTCGGTTGTTATTGTTTTAATATATATATTTTTTGTCATTGTTAATATTTTATATTTTGTAAATTTTTTCCTAAGCGAGCATATTGGGAAGCTGTAAGGCTCGCTTAGTTTGATGTCAATAGATAAATAAATAAATTGTATATTGTTTGATTTCCGTATACTAATTATAATTCCACGTAAGCAGCCATATTTGCGACGCCGCATCTGTTAAATCCCCTTCTTATTCTGAAATAACATTATATTTTATTCATCATGGTATATTTCGTTTACTACATCTTAGACCCTAAGGTCTCGAGTTCAAATCTAACGGATGTAGTTAGATTGTTTCTCCGGAATCCGTCAGGAGGGAGTTAGCCAGGCGCTCCATAAGTTCTTCCGCGGGTTTGGAGTGCCATCTGCACTCGTCTATTTCTATATCTTTTGTCTATCTATTTTTTGAGATAATCGAAATCACTTTAACACAACTAATAGTTTATATTTTTTAATATATTTACTAGCTGTGCCCGCTATTTCACTCGCATAAATTTACTTAATATATGTCATTCTATCTAAGCTATATTACTGTAAAGTTTTATCAAAATCCGTTCTGTAGTTTTTGCGTGAAAGTGTAACAAACATCTTTCACAAACTTTCGCGTTTATTATATTAATAAGATAATAAAAATAATAATACCTCATGTATCCATTCTCTCCCCATTGTTTACCCCACCAGTTGAGCAGTATCCAATATTCAGGCGTGTACCCCACTAGTAACATGGCATGGTTCAGGGTCCACGGCACGCAGAAAGGGTCATCATAGATGCCGCTCCTGATGATGAAAATCATTTTGAAATTATATTATTTACACAGCGTTATCTCTAATCACAAGCAAAGCAGAGCTTGTGTTATGGGCACAAAATAATAATATAATATCTCACGACAATTCGCACAGAGCTATCTAGTCCCAAGCTAATTAGATCTCGTGTTATGAGTACCAGACAACTGATAAAGAACATATATCTAGTCTTTGTAACTACTAATATTTTAATTATTTAAAACACCGCATTACTTCCGATGTTCGCAGATTCGATTACTCGCACGGTACAAACATTTGTTTTCAATATATACCAATATAGATATAACTCAAAGGTGACTGACATAGTGATCTATCAACGCACAGCCCAAACCACTGTACGGATCGGGCTGAAATTTGGCATACAGGTAGATGTTATGACGTAGGTATTCGCTAAGAAAGGATTTTGATTAAGTCTACCCCCAAAGGAATAAAATAGAGGATGAAAGTTTGTATGAAACTTTGTCAATTTTAAACCGATCGGGCTGAAAATGATGAATGTAACGGTACATACACCAAAATAATTTTTTTTACAATTTTCGTCTGTCTGTCTGTTTGTTCCGGCTTATCTCTTAAATGGCTGGACCGATTATGACGGAACCTTTTTTGTAATAAGGAGCTGATGTAATAAGAAGTAACTTAGGCTAGTTTTATTTTAGAATTTTTATATATTTAATTATTTCTATTAGTTGTCTACTAACCATAACACAAGCTCTGCTTAGTTTGACACTAGATGGCGCCGTCTGAATTGATATTATTATTATTACCTACAAGGTACAACTTAACTAGAGTCGTTCCTTCATTCTTACATTTCTTACCTTATGACCTCGTTTTCTTACCTGTAAAGTTGGAAAGTGAATGGAGACGCGTTGATAGCAACTGCCAATGGTCCGATGGTGGCCAGAGCCCTTTCCATTCCATCCTCATCACCTGCTGGTATCATCGCCCAGCGGCGTGGTTTAGCCCGAGGTGCCTCCCTTATATAGTGACATCGACCTTTCTAGAAGAAATGTTAGTGGTCATTTATTATTTTTTTTATTATATAGTCTACTGCTGCTGCGACCGCGACTTCGTACGCGTAAAATGATTTCTATATAACTTTTCATCTCCTCTTTCAAACCCTTGCAAATCTTTTTTCACATTATCACAGTAGCCTATGTCCTTTTTCAGGGTCGAGACTATCTATATACTGAATTTCACTTACATCAGTTCAATGGTTTCGTGAAAGCGAGACAGACAGACAGAGTTACTTTCGCATTTATATTATTAGTAAGAATGATTGTAGGTATCCGAGACTGATGTGTTACGGCTGCCAGCAAACTAAACACAAAGACTAGTCTTCTTTTACTTAATTATATAATTTACACTACGAAAGAGAAAAAAAAAAATTGTATCTACTCGCTGCTCTTTAGTTTACAGATTTCAGATCATAGATGTTGTAACACAGTTGAACTATCGGGAACTCAATAAAAATAAATAAAACATGGTAAGATACCACAATTTTTCCTAATTATACCTATGAATAAATATTTGTTAGTAGTAGTAGTTTTGTAATCTTGTTAAGTTATTGTCAATTTTTATGTTTACTCTGTTAGTAGTAGTAGAAGTTAAGTACTATCATCGACGTCGATCTCTTATTGTATTAATTTTCTAATAAAGGCTATAACAGAATAGCAGAGGATGGATGCACTGCCGCCTCTGAGTTATAAACCATTTTAACCCGTTCATTACTTTTAAATTTTATTATGTAAGCAATGCAAATGCAAGCAAATGTATGTATGCCTGCGGCACAGCTAGTTGTTAAATATATCTGTGCTATTAAATCACTCAACAGAAACGAATACCTTGTTTTCCTTATTTACACGTCCTTCTAGCTAAGACTTCGAAATAACTTCTCAATTTACATACCTTCCCTTTATATGGGTAATGGCTCTCCAGCACCAGACCTTCTCTTGCAGCATACCGCAGCGCCGCCCTCAGAGAGCCACCGTTGCAACCCATATTGCCATCCTTGTAACTGCAATCTACGATCTGTTGGGGACTGCAAAGATATTGTAAGTTTATTTCTTAGTTTAAGACGGTATGTTTGCGATGCCCCGTGTCACTATATGGTGATAGTTATCTGTGGTAATAGTGATGACGTCTATACTCTGGGTACAATCTTATTTTTAGAGTAAAGTGCCAATGAAGTTCAACAAGGAGTAAATATTGTAAGTTTCCTTTACGATGTTATTCAATGATAAGACCGCATCACTTTCGATGGCCGTGGGTTTAATTCCTCGCATAGTACAAATATTTGTATTCATAAATATTGTTTTGGGTATTTTTTATGTTTATTATGTGTATTTATAAAAATCTATACATAAGTAATATATCAGTTATCTAGTACTCATAACACAAGCTCTGCTTAGTTTGGGACTTGAAGGCGCTACGTGAATTGTCTAAGGATGTTACTATTTTATTATGTATGAAAGAAGGCTTTAGTATTGGTAATTAAGTAATTGCAATTTCACTGTTATATCTCAGGCTTCAAATCGATTTAGTAGATAAATAGGTGTTACAAATTCCACCTCTCAATAAGAAACAAAGAAGGGGATTGTTAGTAAAGTGGACTACTAAACCCATTGCTAGCAATGTACCATATAAGGTTGACCTCAGCATGGTTCCTCCTGGAAACCAACGTGTTAATTTCTGGTGAATTTGCCGTGACTGTGACCTGACCTCATGCTCCACTGGTGTCCCGCCAACGTAAACCGCAAGGGCAGGCTGCTGCATCATTCCATTATCATCCATAAAAAAACTATTAAGATATTTATATTTAATACCTAAGTTCTCTCCAGTCGCCATGTTTTCTGTACACTTGGGCTTGTAAGGCGTGAGCGACAGCGAAAGCGTAGCATGCACCACATTTGAACTGCTCCTCAAGACGAGGCTTAAAACCCTTGGCGCGCCAGTCCACCTTAAAAAAAAGTACAAGCTGTGTATTGTTGGGTGTGATTAGGCAGTGAATAAGAATAATGGTATCATGAGCGTTATATGATAACTTGTTTTTTTTTTAAATATTGGTTTAATTACTTGAATTTCACCTATTTTCACTACACATTAATTTAACTATTATAGCTCCATTATTGCCTCCTGGTTTTAAACTGAATTATCCTGTATTTTCCTGTTTTTGTTTTAGCTTGGGGTTGGCAACCCTATTCTGCGAAATCAGTAATACTATATAGTATTACGTTATCTGTGGTAATACTTACTTCCCTGGGAGTTCTACGATGGACAACCTTCTTATATGTGGTTCTATGATGGTCTTCAGCGGGATCGAAGAGCGGTATTGTGTCAAACAATTTTAATATTTTCTTAAAGTAATCCGTCGCTCCCTAAAAAGTAAATGTCATCAATGGATTGATACGATATTTGATTTGTGACAAAGTTTGGATAGTTATATATATTATATTATCTGTGGTTATATTAAAAAATTTCATTTACTTATTTGAGTGCTGAGTTAATATTAATATTGTTTAATAAAATGACACAATGATATTTAAAAATGATAATAATAATAATCTCAGGACAATTCACACAGCGCCATCTAGTCCCAAGTTAAGCCAGCTAAAGCTTGTGTTACGGGTACTAGATAACTGATAAAAGGACATAGATATTTTTTTTCGTAAATACATACATATTATACATAGAACACACCCATACCGATACAAACAATCATACTCATGAATACAAATGTTTGTTCCGTGCGAGGAATCGAAACCGCGACCATAGGAATTAAAGCGGTGTGCTAGACCGCTAGACCACCGAGGTCGTCTGAAATGAAAATCATTCACAGTCACAAAACCGTTAGATAGGTATCGATCTAACGGTGGGAATTTTATTATTGATTGTTTATCACATTAAAATATATATTCGACAACAATTTGCTAATATTTAACGTAATTTGATATCCGCGTAATATCTAAAATTATTTAGATAATTTATGAATACGTATATTTTCACTAATCACTCGCCGATTTTCTATCCATTACTATTTCTAGCTTATTTTTTTAATTATAGATGGTCATAGCTAATTATTTAGTAAAATATTAGGAAAACCGCCATCTAACGATTTTTTTGTTAACTACATCCTCAGGCGTGCTATCTACTGAGTATTCAATTAAGTGTTCCACTTGATGTAGATGCTACTGAGATGCTATTAGTAATTTATGATTTGCTTTACGTTTACGATGCTTATTCTAAATGAAATACTTAACCCATAGTAGTAAATAAATACACAAACAAAAAAAACAATGTAACAAAAAGTTTTGTTAAATTATTGACGTGTTCATGAACAAGAGGGGTATAAAATAGATATGCTGTCTGACTTGTTATGTTATTTAAGTTAATTAAGTATTTTACCAAATCACCAAAGTGGTTCAGATGCAAGGAATAGCTTATTTTTCCCTCCAAATATTTCTTGTTATGCTCAGCTACGCGACGCAGATTGTTTCGCCATTTCGCCAGTGCTGCCATCTCGTGGCGGGCGCTCTCGTACACTTTGTTGTATACTGACTGTAATAGAAAGAGATTATCTTATTAACCCTTCGAACATTTTGACACAGATCTGTGCAACTGCACACCTCTTAAACCGTATTACCGTCTTATCACAGATCTGTGCCCGCAGAACCGTGATTTCTTTTTAACCAATTTAGTCCTTATTTAAAACGAAATAAAATTGCACGCATTTGAAAAATTACAGCTGGCGCACGCATACCACCTCTTCACTTTTAGTCGCTGCGTCAGACAACAGACATTTGAAAGGTTAATATAAACGATGAAGGTTTGTGACTATGGATGGATGTTTGTTACTCTTTCACACAATAACTACTGAACGGATTTTCATGAAACTTTACAGTAATATAGCTTATACATCAGAATGACATATAAGCTATAAATTTCCCGTGCGTGAAATCGGGCACATCTAGTTATTTTTTTTTTTTTAATTATACTAATGCTGTTAGCCGCAGCTGGTCTTTACAGCTTCATCGGACAATAGAGTCGCCCTCTATTGTACAGATGGCACTCCAAACCTGTTGGACTTATGAAGCGACTAAAGCCAACTCCGTCTGACGAATACGACTTTAATCTGAGGGCACCTCTACGGGTTCGAACCTCTGTTCAGGCAGTGACAATTTCGATCCCCGTTTGAATTAGGGATTAATGGTTACTAGCTTTATGCGCCAACCGCATGGAAGTAGGTATTCTTTATTTCAGTCGAATCAGAGAAACAATACTTGTATTTCTAAAAGCACAAATTAATGGAAAATAAAAACTACAGTTTCCAAGTGGAACAGCATGATGATATTTTTTACACGATAGTGCTGGAAATCAAGCTTACATGCCATCTTCTTAATCGTTCCCTAACTGCTGAAGATCGTGACTCTATACTATATTGTCGACCAGCTGTCGCCATCTGCTACGCTCAGATGCCTGATATTTGATCTGACCATCGAATGGGACTTCGGCCTCGAGGTCTTTTACCTTCTATCTTCTCTGTTACCATCAGTCTCTCCATATTGTCTTACATGCCCAACTGATGTATAATGATTAACGTTTGCAGTTAAACTAGTTATTATATTAAACTAGCTGACCCCGCGAACTAGGGGAAGGGATTCTTAGTAATGTTCTACAAATATACCGAAACCAAAATTATCCTAATTGTTCCAGCCTTTTTCGAGTTTTAACGAGATTAACGAAACGTTATTTCCTTTTTAGAAAAGATAATATTATTATAAAAAATATTGATATCGGATAGCTTCTGTTGAGAAGATCTGGCACTTACACTTACCTTGTACATTTTTTAAAATCAGTTTATGAGAATATGAACCCAATTAAAATTGTACCTAAATATTACCTTATATAAATCCCAGTGAAACTCTGGAGCATCGTGGCTAATCAACAAACCATTCGATATGTTTCTATTGTAATTACTTGCTTCATAGTCAAGATCCTTCGATATGTTTCTATTGATGTAACTCGCTTCATGGTGACGGCCCTTGTGACGAAAATTATTATACCTCGATGATTTATCAAAAATATTCACAATTTTATCACCAAACGTGTTTATATTAGAGTTCAAAATACACCGACGATATTTAGTACAATTAGAACTTTTATAATTATTTGGTGTATATTTAATTCCATGACGAGTCTCGTTTGAATTTAAATATGAATTAATTAATGATATTTGTAACAATATGAGTAAGAACTTCATTTTGAAGTTGAGTGGTTGCAGTGAAAATTGCATCTTGATGTACATTTGCATGTTTTAGGAGTGATTACGCAATTTTATACCTTGTCTCTATTGTGATAGGGATTGAATTATAATGAAATGAACAAAAAAAAGTTTTAAGGAGTGAATGCAATTTTGCACCTTATCCGTATTGTAATAGGAATTGAATTATAATGAAATTCAAATAAATAAATTTGCTGATTGCAATATTTTTTTAGGTAATTACTGTAATTTGATATTTAGCTGATTTGTAAAATTACAGCGCGGTGTTATTTCTCAGTATATTTATGTAACCACAACTAATGTTATAAATATGTCTATCTGTCTGTTTGTTACATTTTGACAACTTAACAGCGGAACGTATCTTAATGAAAATTAACAGGAAAATGGGCGTAGGTATAGTAATGTAATAGTAGTAGTTATGTAATATTTTTTTTCGGATTATACTAATGCTGTTAGCCGCTTATAGCTTTGTATATTTTAGGTATATTTAAGGTATATTTTTATTTTTTTTTATCTCAAAAATGTAGATTTTTTTGTGGTTGATAATGGAATGATGCTCCCGCCTGCGCTAACAGTTAACGCTGGCGGGGCACCTGTGGGGGATGATAGGTTGAGCATGAGGTCAGGTTAGTTAGCTATTTACCATCATGATAAATTCACCAGGAATTTATCAGGATGGTTTCCAGGGGGAACCGCGTGGAGGTCGACCTGACTGTACCATACATTACTAACAATCACCTTAAAATGTAAAGGGGGTAAAATAAAGACTAAAGTAATGTAGGTATACCACCTACCTAATAGCTAAATCTTTTAAAAATATGATACTTACGTTGTTTTGTCTGAGAATAAATATATCAAAAAGTACGGACGTGTTGCGTACGTTGTGTTGTGTTGTATTGATTTCTGTTCTCCTTGCTTCAACATTTGACACGAACAGGTAGAAAAAAAGATTTGTAAATTTATTACGTGGGTTTAACGGCGTTTTTTTGTTGTTGACATTTGCATTGTAAATAATTTTAATAATAATATTTTTTAACGTATTTTTGAGTACTATCATTTTATTCTAATTCCATAACAATTAGAAATATTGTCCAATAACTTTCCGATGTTTTTTACTGCTTCTCAATACAAAAAGTAACATTTTAAAAAGACACAAAAAGTACCCACTAACTATTAAACTTGTTACTATATAAAAAAATGTATATTTTTTACGAAAATTGCGTGGTCGGAGTATGAAATTTTGTACACTTATTGTTAGCTTCAATATATAAAGAACACTCGGTTGACTAATTTGTTACTTACATTTCATTCATTAAAAGCCATAGTGAGTCACGTGATGTTGGTGGCGTCACGATTATGCCGCCACCAATAGTAATAGAGATAAAGAGGCCGGGAACAAGGAAGGAGCGGGCTGCTCTCTCTTTGTTCGAGGCGACCGCGACGACCAGACGTGAATGTACAGCGACGCAATTTATGTGGAGGGTGATTTGAAGAAAGGAATAAACTAAATGTACTACTGTATCGACGTATCATTTCTGAAACTTCCCAATAGTTTCAGAATTGGGATCAACAAGATCTATATTGGATTCTTGCCACGCCTACAAATGCAAGTAACATTTTTATTTTTATTTATTTTTTTTCTTTCTCCATAAGAAAAGAAATGGTTAGAATTTATTGTACACTGAATTCAATAGTGACGCCACGGAATGTTCGAGAAGTGAAAAAACAAATATATAACAGCAAAACGAAATAATCAATGTTCCATGCGTGACGTTCCAAATATAACTTATAATTTTATTTTTAAATTCATTATTTGGCTATTTGCGATTGCATGATATAGTATCAGTTTATGGACGTACAAGGATGGTTACGTTTGCATCTTACCAGGGCTATTCTATGGCATGCGTTGTGCCGTAAATCTTAATTCTAAAAAGTTATGCACTCTAAATCATAATTTATACTTTTGGGTCAAGTGAACCAGTCTGAAAATAAAGTATACTTTTTTTAAAGAGCCTTCTTAGTAATGATATTTGTGAAAATCGCTAGAAACATACGGCAAATACTCGTAGATGGACTACCCTATAGCATTATACAATCGTCCTTTAATATTGTGAAGCTCTTAAAGATGGTACACAATGGGAAACTTTATGACGGCAGGTTGCGTTCTTTACTTTTGGAACAGTAATTTTATAGTGTTGATAAATTTATTAGTAGTAAAAACTGTACAAATGCTAACACATTGTAATATGTTATTAAATAAAAGAAAAAATAAAATAATAATAACGTCTAAGATGCGGCGATGGCCGGTTCCGACAGGATACCAGGACTCCCTGGAAAGTAGTTCGCCCGCCATCATGCGGGTTGTGGTAATTGAATATATACATATATGAAATATATATTGCGGTATCTTGTAATGGGCACAATGGATTTTGTTAATATCAATAGAAGCAATAATTATGTTTATAAATTTGAAGGTACAAAAATAATAAGAAGTGCCTGTTGAACGCGATTAGCATGAATAACGATTGTAACGTTGGCTTTAACACACTGTTCATTCCATCAACCGAACTATCATATTGTTATTCCTCCTTAATATTTAATTCACTTTCTCATTGATGTGTTCGTAATTTTATACAGTTAACATAGGTAATATAATTTGTTAAAACATTTAAAAATATATATAAATTCGAATATGTCTATGCCCTTAAAGATAGGATTCTTGCGAGTCATTGCCTCTCAAATGATTTGGCCGTGCTTTTCGAGAACAAGCTAAACTTTCGGGACCATATGACAACATTGTCAAGTGCAGTTATCGTTTTACTGTCGTCATTACTACATCTACCACACATATTCGGCAGCATTCTTCCGATAAAGTTTATTTGCATTTACTACTCACGCGACGCTACCTAGTGTACTTGAATATAATTCAGATATGGAGCTATAATATTGTATGGTACACATATAATTCAAAATGTTCAGACATTGATTAAAGACTTATATATCTGGGATTGCCAATTTGCAGATTACAATATATGTATATGTGGAATGTTTCAATTTGAGCCTTTTATGTAAAAGACAACATAAACTACCAAAAATTATTAATTGCGTTACAGTACTCCTATATTATTTATTTTCCATGTATATTTGATTATTTAACGTTATTTACCGTATTAAATGTAAGTTCTAGGTATATTGTGGTATGGGTCTACAATCCAGTGTTATACTAATTGCAGGCTTTTGAAAAATTCTTGTAATGGTAGTAATTTTATTTTGTGTGCAAATAAATAAATAAATTATTGACACACTAAACGGCAATAGAAAATATTTGTGTACGAAATACCGTGACCGAGACCATGTTTGAGACCACGTATGTTGAGTGCGGAAGTCTGATCACTGCTACTGGGAGCGTTACAACCTTCTTTATTAGTGATGGAATTTAGACGGATCGACCGTTATTGGGGCATCATCATGCATTGAATAGAGTTTGAATATACATAGCTCGAAAGTCTTGTGTTAGACTATTCAGCAAGTAAACTGCGACAATAGAAGTTTTGTTATATAGTTTTATATTTCGAATAAAAAAAAATGCATCAATCCATTGGGCGTAGTAACGAACGTCCAATCTTAGTGCTGGTACACTTTGAATATGGACTTGCGAAATAATTCCTCAAACATAATTACAGTTTGTATCAAAATTGATGTATTACTATGCAATATATATTTTAAACATAGTTATGGTATATTCAATTGGACCGTTATATTGTGTACTGGTATATTGTATAGACTTTTGCTATTGTTACCCTTATGAGTTTTCATAAATAATGTTTAACTGCATAGTAGACCCGCTAAAACGAAGAGGAAGACTGGTTCATACTTAAGTGGTTATATATGTGTATATTGTATGCGAAACAGTGTATAATGGATTAAACTTTTAAGTTTCAGTGATGGAACGAGACGAATTGTCCATTGGAAAATCCGAGCAAATCGATGAGGTTTGGTGGATACCATAATGACCCAGGAGAGCCCAGGTGACAGGGACAGGGTCCAGGTGACCAGGGTTGACACAGGAGTACCAAAGCGAAAGGGCCAGGGTACCCAGGAGTGCCCAGGCGAGAGGGCCAGGGTTGACCCAGGAGTGCCGAAGCGGGAGGCCTAGATTTTACAAAGGAGTGCCCAGGCGAGAGGGCCAGGGTCCTAGTAAAGGAGTAATCGTGTAGACTCATGGTCCTATTTTGTATCGGCGAAGTACATCGCCGTTGGGCAGCGCTGCGAAGTGAACCGAAGGAAGGCGTAGCTAAAGAAACCACGGCATCAAATCCAGCTCGTCATTTAAAAGTTACGTATCACCAGGTACTCAGTCATTGCATATGCATTAACAAGTAATATTATAATATAAATGACAATATTTTAATAATACAAACCCCGGTTAAAGGGGTGTATGTACTGATAGTATAAAGGGTGTAGTAGATAGATAACCTATTCTATGTTAATATCACAAAAACAAATCTATTTGTTACGGTTTTACGACAAATTGGGTGTTAACCAAATTGAACAAGACAAGTCCTCTGTAGAATTTGTTTAGCGCTTGCAGTATATGTTACGAATACGTTACTGAATAATATCTTGTAATTAATAATTGGATTGGGAGGACAATCTTTTAGTAGCGAAACTGTCCTAAAGTTAACTGTTAATAACCGGAAATTGTCTATTAATGTTTTGTAATACCTAAGCTGTTACACTGACTTGAGTGACGTGTAATGTATGTGGTTTATAATGATATGATCATTCTTAAACAAAGACGGGATTATTTAAATAATTTCTATAAACCATATACCGTATACCTATAATTGTAATAAATTGTTTTAATGTTGGTAAAGAGGTCGTCGTGATATCAATGGTTACCATTAGTTTTCAATATTTTTTTGGATCTCGTTTAAATCATTAAATGAATTATTATCACATTCTAATTACTACAGAAATAATTAAACAAAGCACATGAATAATCGATTGTAATATCGATCTGTTGAATC